CTCCTGAATCTGGGCGAGTGATTTCCCATGGATGGACGAAAGTATCTTGCAAAAGGTTCGACAGATGGTGGAGGGTTCTCTTTATTGAGAATTTATATAGATAGTTCTCTGCCTTTCTATTCCCTCACAGCACACAGCTAGCTCGATACAGTAATGGACATGGAACGCCTTCGCTCGCCAAATCGATCGATTCGAATCTCGACATTGTTCACGATAGTTCGCTTCGGATTCCCCAACTCAACGTTCGTCAGATGCAGTAGTATGGGAGCGATTATCCAACCACGCCGCATATGACAAGACTTTCACACCAGATCGTCTCGACAATCCAGGCGTACACATACAAGGTCCAAAAGGAGTAGGTACAAAATATGCATTGCTCTATACAAATACATCGGGACAACTTGTTTCTGCTTTCCGTCGTCAAATTTCATCGGAAAAAGGCTCGAAGGCCACCACAAAGGAAAATTCAGATTTCAGAATCGGACAAGAATCCACTACTTCCATACGTTCTTGAAGTAAAGTAGGTCAAGAAGCCATCCGGCAGCAATTACACTTGATGTGACGTGACGTTGGCGCCAGAATTCCCGATTCCGCAGTTTGCATAACCACTTTCTGTGCTAGTCATCACTGTCCCACCGCCTGCGATTGTGAAGAGTCTCTTCACGTTATGGGGCAAGTCGTGTGTGTGATGTTTCTTGTTTCGAATTGCACGTAAGAGAGTGGCAATACTTTTTGGGTCATACTTCCTTCTCTTGTTCAAGTCTTCCATCACTTGTCGATCCAATCGACGATGCCAATCATTTCCAACAATGTCCACTGCGTTCGCCTCCAGTGCCACGAGGACGAGGGAAGCGACTGGAGGATCACGCTCCATAATATCAAATCGATCACTTGCGTCCTGCAAGAAGGATAATCTACGATGAGAATCCCAAAAGTATGGATGCGACAAAATCTTCAATGCATCTGGCCTTTGCTCAGGCTCATATTTGGTCATTGCACAGATCAAATGTTGAGCTTCATGTCCCTCTTCTCCCAATCCATCCAAACGTTGAAGGTCAATCTATCGTCGCAAGATGTTCACCTTCCTCTCAAAGCGTAAGCCAAAAGGATGATCGCCATTCGTAATACATCAAGCACCCTAATGCAAAAATGTCGACTGCTCTTGTCAATCGTTTCCGATCTTCTGAACGCTTTGACTCGCCACCGTTTTCTTGATCGCTTACGGAAGTGAAGGACGAAGTACTATCGCAAGTATCAGCATCTGCATCTAGGTAGACATCACCACGCAAGATCTCTGGAGCACGCCAGCCAAAAGCTCCTCCGGGATTGTTGACTGTTTGACTGAAGCTCGTTTGCGCAACTCCGTCGAGCCTTTTTGAAAGCCCAAAATCTGACGAGAGCATCTTCAATTCCCCTTTTGAAGTTTGTGAAACCAAGATGTTTTATGGCTTGATATCACGATGAACGATTGAAAGGGAGTGAAGGTACTGTAAACCTGAAGCAATTTGCGAGAGT